TGATTTGCTTCAAAAGCATCTCCCCCAAAACCCCAAAACCCCAAAACCCCAGGATACTGGTAAGTTCGTAATAATAAGAGATTTATAAGATAATAATAAAATGCTGGATATTGAAATCAAATTAAAACCATCCAAGTGTAAAATCCTCTTGGGTATGTTTAATGGCTCTATTTCGCAAATTCCTTATTAAGTTGTAATGCCTTTACTTCCTTGGCTAACATAGTATATTTTCATGATAGGATAATATGGACTCGTATTCTAAGCTTTATGCCACATCGGAATTTTAATTGCAAGACTCTTCGCAGGCCCTCTGATCAAGTAAATTGGTTCAAGACTTGTGATTATGATTGGGGGATTGCTGACTCTGCAATACTTTATTTACATTTTCTACCTAATAAGCAGGATTTTTACTCATTACATCTTTAATCCATTTGAGCTTTAGTATAAACTAACTGGTCATTTCAAAGTATTCATTTTCTTAAGCTTTCTATTTGGTATTGGGATTTTCCTGAGCTATGAGGGGAATCATAGATATATCAAGCATTGTGCAGTTAACATAGAAAAGATAGAAGAAAGGTAAAGACGTCAAGATTAATACACTAAATATTACAATTAGCTAGTATTCTTTTTCAAAATCATAGGAATTATAATAGCAGCAGTTCTAGTATTTGATCTTCATAGTGGATCTGTTACCTCATTTACTCTTTAATTTGATAATCTGATGATATTTTGTTCTGCTCTTTCACTTGGATCATTCGTGATAGCTTTAATGATGCCTGCACCATATACAGTAAGAAAGCAGAATAGCATCGATTATATTGAAGAATAATCTGATCACAATAGAATTTAATCAAATTCTCAGAAGAATCATATATCAGAATTTTATGATTATGAAAGTCCTTATTACTTTACATTAAAAACTGTGATAAAAGATCTGTTCACAGAAATTTTCTCAACGAGAATGGCTAAGTACACTCTTCATATTATCTGCTCCGCTTCGATGAGTACTATGTTTGAATCTGTGGCTTTTGTATTCATGTATACCAAGATTAGAGATAATGTTTAAGAAAATGAACTTAGAGTAGCCTATCTAATGTTTATTCCTTATGTAGGTATTTACCTGCTATTATCATTCTGTACCTGTCGCACTTGCTATGATTTTAATGATTAAGGTCGCTAAAGAACAAGTAGAAAATGGGGTGCAATCATTAACTTATTCACATTTCTAGGGATGTGCATTATAGCTATTATTTTTAGAACAAAGAAATGGGATTTCTATAAGATAAGTGCAGCCTAAACAATTGGAATATTTGTAGGTGGCGCAGCATATTGTGGACTTTGTGACCTACTTCTCTAAAAATAAAGAAAAAGTCTCGCGTTTCAGGGTTAAAGACATAAGTCTTTCTATTAAGCTACCCAGATAGTGGAGGAATTTGTGAAAGCAGTAATTTAAATAGCTCTTTTCTTGCACTACTATATCTGGATTGATTAATGGAATTTCGAAGAATTGCTAGGGTTTCAGTTCTTTATTTTAATAGCTATTTCCCTTGCTCTTGGAATGATACTTCAAGTATTGATTTGGCTATTCTTTTGAATTTATCTTAATAATTCTAAATCTTATCAAATCTTAGACTTTACGGGGTTTTGGGGTTTTGGGGTTTTGGGG